CAGTGCAAGCGGGGGGAGGACTGTAGAGCTTTCTAGAACAAACGATGAAAATGAAATGCAAAGCACTGACAAAAGCAAAGGCAGCGTAGACAGGATGACGGGAGGAAAACGAGGTATTCCTGTTATTTTGTTGCTAATTTTATTCTGCTAATGAAAAAGCGATTGGAGCAGGTTTGAGGTGATGGAGNCAGTGCAAGCGGGGGGAGGACTGTAGAGCTTTCTAGAACAAACGATGAAAATGAAATGCAAAGCACTGACAAAAGCAAAGGCAGCGTGGACAGGATGACGGGAGGAAAACGAGGTATTCCTGTAATTTCGTTGCTAATTTTATTCTGCTAAAGAAAAAGCAATTGGAGCAGGTTTGAGGTGATGGAGCAAGCCAATTGGATTACAACTCTGAGCTGCAGAAAAAACAAACGGTTGCTTTTATCGGTTAGCCGGTTTGGATAATATAAGGGTGTAAGCGTAATTATGATAAAAGCCAGAAAAGAGGGCCAGAAATATAAAATGGAAATAATAACAAATTGAACAAATGATAGTGGTGCTTGCCAATTCTTGTCACACTATTTATCATCATTCATTCACACTGTTTAGTTGTAAATCTTGATAGCCGTCTCGTGGGGAATGTGTTTTGAAGGCTCCGTCGCTTTGTTCACGTGATCCAGGCCTAGCCACAACTTGGGCGCGTAAAAGTGAATAGGTAAATCTAAAAAAATGCCAAAAAATGATACAAGTTTTTTACATCAAGCATTCTTACTGTTCATATTGTAATCCTCTTTTTTGAAAATCTGTTTTTCTTCGTCGGTGATGTAGGTGGCACGCATTGAGATGATAGCAAACTTGTACTAAAGAAAACGGTAAAGAAAAGCAAATTAAAAACATTTCTCAGCTGGTACAGCAAACCAAGCGCCATTACCTTTTCAAACTCCTGATCAGAAACGTCAAGTTTTTTTTGAATTCGCTCCTTGACAGTGACAAATGACTCGTTCTGAAAAACAACAAACAGTAGCAGTAAAATTCAACAAAAATCTCTACAGTTCAAAATGCTAGCACCGACACTTACATCCTTCACCTTGAGTAGAAATGGCACGCCAAAGGTCCGGTAGGACTCACTCTGAAAGTGAGCCACCGGGAGGAGAAACTCATTCGGCTCCATATACATCTGATCGTCAGGAGTTTCCTCCACCCGGTAGCTCACG